AGAAACACATAGTGCTAGGCTAACTAATATGCTAGTATTTTTTATTTCTGGGAGTCCAAGAGCATAGCCCATTTTGGCCACTTATCCCCCCCCCCCCGTGTGTGTGTGTGTGTGTGTGTGTGTGTGTGCGTGCGTGCGTGCGTGTGTGCGCGTTGTGTGCTTGTGTATGTATGCTCAGAGGGCATCTTGTAGGAGTCAGCTTCTACCACATAGGTTCTGGGCATTGAACTCAGGCTGTCAGTCTTCTATTCCAGTGTGGTCATATATGTGAAACTTGGTCTAGGTGCGTGATTTCCGGTGAAGTCAGAGTTAGTCTTCCTGTCAGGGCTTTGCAGTGTAACTCAGGATGTGGTGTCCCATAGTGTCTAGCTTCAGTGCCCTCCTTCAGTGCTCCCTTTAGAATTCTGAAAGAACAATGTTACCAAGCATATAGTCTCTAAAAACCCTTGTCATATCCTAACTATACAGGACTCTTACACATAATTTATGATGAGAGAAAATATGTAGTTTCCCTATAATGTCAATAAAGGGTTGGTTCCAGAGTTCTCCTTCCCTTAGATACTAAAATGCACAGATACTCTGGTCCCTTACATAAAATGTACTGTACATGCCTACACATATCCTTCTGTATACTTGAAATCATTTCTCAGTTACTTCTCATTTATTACAATCTGAATACTTGTAATATTGTACAAGGATTAATGATAAAGGAAAAAAGTCTGTAGATATTCAGTACAGACTTAGGGTTTTCTCCCCAAATATTTTCTTTCTGATGTCAGTTGAATCTGAAAATGCAGAACCCGTGGATATGCCGATCTGACTATCCAAAGAGATATAGTTCACGGCTGTAGCAGAACATGTAATTGCTGAAATGCCACACTACTTCAGACCATTACAGTTGAGTGGTTGGTGACTAAGACTTTGAAAGTGATGTAGTTATTGGCGAACTTCATTTCTTCAATATACCTGAGCTTGGAAGAGTTTGACTACAGGGCTGGGGAAGTGGTCCAGTGGGTACTTCATACTTGCCACGGAAGTATGAAGACCTGAGTTTGAATCTCTGTACTCCATGTAAAGACTGATGGTGGAAAGCATGCACCTGTAATCCTAGTATACCTTTGGGAGAGGGAAGGCAAAGACAAACGAACCCCTGCCTAGCTGGCTAGCTAGCGCAAGACTATATACATAGGCAAAACTAGAAGAGACCTTGTTTCTAACAAGGTGGAAATTAAGACCAACACCTGAGGTTGTTATCTGATATATATATATATATATATATATATACACACACACACACACACACACACACACGCAACACACAGAGATATATCTGCCTTCCCTGTACACATCATATACTCATGAAAAATTGGTGTTTACTACCTCATTTTGTCTACTTTAATAAAATGGGTGTAACCTTTTATAAAAACCTTTTAAAAAGAGAGACAGGTTCTAGCATTATTGTTTAGGCTGGCCCGGAATTACAGGTGTATATACCATTACATTTGACTTCTTTAGGAGCTCTTTCTCTCTTTCACTTAATTTAGTTTTATTTTGTTTTTTAACACCTTTCTAAGTAGCTCTGACTGCCATGGAACTTGCTATGTAAACCAGGCTACCGTCAAACTCATAGAAATTTGTCTGCTTCTGCCTATTGAGTCCTTGGATTAAAGGCATACATCACTGTGCCCGGCTTTATTAAGCTTTTAACTGTTTACATACTCTTTTAAAAATTGTTTTATATTTATTAATTTTATGGGTATGAGTGTTTTGCCTACATGTGTGCCTGCACTATGTGCATGTTGAATGCTCTCTGAGGTCAGAAGGTATTGGATTCCCTGGAACTGAAGTTACAGATGATTGTGAGCCACCATGTGGATGTTGGGGCCTCTGCAAGAGCAAGTGCTCCTAACCTCTGAGCCATCTCTCCATCCTCATTCTCTCTCTCTCTCTCTCTCTCTCTCTCTCTCTCTCTCTCTCACTCTCTCTTTCATAGGGTTTCTCTATGTAAACCCAGCTGTCCTGGAACTCATGCTGTAGACCAGGCTGACCTTGAACTCAGAGAGATCCACCTGCCTCTACCTCTCAAGTGCTGAGATTAAAGGTGTGTGCCACTTCTGTCTGGCTAAACAATAACTTCATTTTTAATGAAAGTAATTTTCATTTGTGTCTTTGATCTGTTTTTTGTTTAATTTTTTTAAGTGATTGTGTAGGTTGAAGCATATTTGTTTTGCATGCCGACATCTAATTATAGCAGCATTTGTTTAAAGATTAATCTCTTTATTGAGTGCCTTTGTACAGTTGTTAGATAACAGTTAGCTAGTTTTTGTCTAATTCATGAAAGCCTACGTTCATTCTTTTTAATAGCTATACTCCTTTTTAAGAAATTAGTTAATTAATTTTATGTATATGGGTTTTTTGCCTGATGTATGTCTGTGGCCACATAAATGCCTGGTGCCTTAGGCCAGAATTGGGTATTGGATCTCTTGGTACTAGAGATGTAGACAGTTATGAACTGCCATGTAGCCCTGACTGGCCTTGAACCCATGTCCTCTGGAAGAGCAGTCAGTGCTTTTAACTGCTGAACTATCTCTCCTGTCCCAGCTATACTGTCTTAATTGCTGTAGCTTCATATAAAGTCTTGAAATCAGGTAATTTGATTTAGTTTTTTCTTAATTCAGTATTGATATGGGCGTTCTATACATTTATTTACTTGTTTATATTAAGACCAGTTTGTCTCTGAACAAATTCTGCTATGAGTTTGATAGTGATTGCATTCTTCCAATCCTGAACTTATTTAGCTCATCTTGCATTATTTGTATTATGTATGATCTTGCATTATTATTGCATTATTTGCATTTTGTAATTCCCATGCTTGTTCTAAGTAGTTTCTGGGCATAGTAGTTACTTGTTCTGTGATAGAATGTCTGGCAGGAGCAACTTCAGGGAGGAAAGGTATCAGTTCACCTTGGTCTAGAAGGCATGGAGCCTGGGGTTCTGTTTATGGCAATGGGAACTTGTGGTGTGGCTTCTTGTCCTGTTGGATCAAGGAACATAGAGTTCAAGTCAGAACCAGTGGATATCAACTTGTAGGCCTATCTCCAGCAATGACCTCTCAAAGCTGTGTCACCATCTGCTACATTTACAGAGTAGTTCTGTGTAGTCAGTCTAGTCAGGAGTTGACTTAGGTCTGTGTGTTGGAGTTGCTGTGGTTGCTATTATTTTCTCTGTGCTTCTGGTTCTTCAGGGTTAGTTTGATAGGCGGTTTTCTTCAGTATTTCTGATAGCCTTCTGCTTGAGTCCTTCCATGTTTCCTGTAAACCCTCTTCCCTATGCTCTTGGTCTTGGTAGCCTGATTGTGAGGTGTGGGACCAGCCTTGGGGTAAGGCTTTATAAGAGACAACCCCTCACCTGGATAGTTTGGGTTGAGGGTTGTTTTCTGTCTCATTCTGAGGTGGACAGCTTCATGTCTTGCTCCCTTCCTCCACTAGAGTTTATTTATCTGTGCCCGAGGTGTTGAGTACTGGATCTTCTTTGCTCAATACTTTGAGTTAAGCTTTTACCTTCTAGAAGACAAGAGCACTGAAAGTATTGATGCCCGTGCTGCATAGGCCACGCTCTTCCCCCAAGACCTTCACCAGCCACAGTGCCTTCTCCAATCTCCTGCCTAGCCTTGGATCTTAATTGTAGAATAATTTAATCTGTGAGTGCAAACTGGAGTCTGAGAGTGGGTATGAACTCTCCTGTGGCTCTGGGTGTTTAAGAGTTTTCTTACTAAGCTCTAGAGACTTGGCTAAGCAGTTAAAAACATCTGCCTGTCTTCCAGAGGACCCAGGATCAATTCCCAGCACCCATATGGGGGCTCATAACTGTCTGTAACTCCAATTCCAAGGGAGTTCAACACCCTCTTCTGGCCTCCATAGGCACTGCATGCATGTGCACAGACATACACAAAAACACCCATATACACAAAAATAATAAAGAAAATGCTCAAAAATATTTTCAAAAGAAGTTTCCATACTAGCCCACATTCAGATACTAACAATTTGTTAAATACGGTGGAATTCTTCTTATCCCTTTGTACCATGGCTTCATTTTCTTCCTGTCACTTGTAGACTCTTTGGTTGTATATGTCTTTTTTTTTAGAGTCTGACTGTTTATTCATAACAGTGGTTCTCAACCTTTGGGGATTGTTCACTTCTTTTACAGGGGTTGCCTAAGACCATCAGAAAACACAGATATTACATTATGATCCATGACAGTAGCAAAATTAAGTTATGAAGTAGCCATGAAAATAGTGTTATGGTCACCACAGCATGGAGAACTGTATTAAAGGGCCACCACATTAGGGAAACCAGTGTTCTACAACCTCAGCTTTCTTATGCATTCAAGAACAGTTATTGTTTTGTAGATAAATAGTTTTTTCTTATTATAATATGACTAATTTAATTTTCCTGTCTCTACATTCCAGATAGAAACCAAAATTCTTTTGTAATCAAAGGTATTATTAAATTTCTTACTGTTTTATTTAGGAAACATTGCAAAGTGAAAATAAGTATAGTCACTAAATTTCTGTGTACCCATTACCTAATTAATCAGTTACTAAATTTTTGTCAAATGTCCTTTATCACGATTTTCCTGTACATTTATAAATTTTTACTATTGATCTGTTTGAGATTAGAATCCTCAGTGCCTTGACTGCCTACCTCTAAATACAGCAGTCTCACTAAAATTTTAAAAATTAATTTTATTATTTTGAGCCAGGGTCTCACTGTGTACCCGTGACTAATCTGGAACTCACAATGTACACCAGTCTGGCTTTGAACTAAGAGAGATTCTCCTGCCTTTGCCTCCTGAGTGTGGAATTAAGGGCCTGTGCCACCATATCCAGTTAAAACTTATCTAAAACAAATCTTAGTAATATGCTGTATATTAAAAACTATATACTGATCTTACAATATATATCAGTAATTTGTATTCATTAAATCTCTTTCTGTTTGCAGGTATCATTATTAGGATTGGAAATTTTAAGTGCCTTTGTGGATAGATTGTCAACACGATTTAAATCTTATGTAGCAATGGGTAAGTTCACTTTAAGAATGATTGTAGAATTTGATATAGTGATTTTTTTCTTTGCATTTTTGTTAAAGAGTTAGTTTTTTGTAAATTTAGAAAACGCGTAGTTGGGGGCTGGAGTGATGATGGTTCAGTGATTAAAGCTCTTGTTCTTCCAAAGGCCTGAGTTAGAGTCTTAGCACTGACAGCAGTGCTAATATATTAATAATTATTATAATTATTAATAATCATTAATAATTAGATAAACAGGTATAATTCTAGCTTCAGGATCTGATGCCCTCTTTGAACTTTGAGGGTTCTTGTACAATACAGTATACCATAACACACAAGCACATTAAATTAAAATAAAGTCAATTTAAAAATACATAATTTCAGCCAGGTAGCGGTGGTACACACCTTTAATCCCAGCACCCAGGAGATAGAGATAGGCAGTAGGGTCTTTGTGAGTCTGAGACCAACCTGGTCTACAGAGCAAGTTCCAGGTCAGTCAGGGCTACACAGAGAAACCCTGTCTCAAAACAAAACAAAAAAATATTAATTGGTAGAGACTGCTCATTCATTTCCAGCTGCCCAGAAACACAGAAACTGTATTATTTGCAATACTATTTGGCCAATAGCTTAAGAGTGTTTCTAGCTAGCTCTTACATATTAAATGAACCCATTTCTATTATTTTATATTTTACCATAAGGCTTGTGATTTACAGGTGGGCAAAGTTCTGGCGCCGTCTGTCTCCTGTAGTGGCTATATGACTTCTCCCTGATTCTGCCTACTCTCTTTCTGTATCTGCTTGGAATTCTTGCCTTGCTCTATTCTGCTAAGCTACTGGCTGAAACAGCTGTCTTCATTAACCAATAGAAGCAACACAGATGCAGGACTTGCCACACCATTTCCCTTTTTTGTTCAAATAAAAAGAAAGGTTTTAACTTTAACATAGTAAAATTGCATATAACAAAACAGGTATCAAGCAAAAATTACAGTTACAATATTTATATCTACTTTATCTTTTATTATAACTAAGGAAAACTGTAACTATCTATTCTTCAACTCCAACAAAGACTCCAGAAAGATATACTGTTACCTAAGTAAATAGGAAATGCTTTGTAAGCAACTTCCAAAACTCTAGAATTGACAGAGACTCTCACTGCCTGGACAGCCACCCAAAGGTTTTCTGTAACATTGGGGCACCCCATCTTTAGCCTTTCAGGCCCATAGTATCTACCAGACTTTTCCATGAAGCAGGAAATTTCAAAGACAGTAACATCTATATTGGCAGTTTGTCAGTCACTTTCTTCTGTGTCCTGCTGAATGTCTGGCAGATTCTTTCATAAAGCAGGAGCCCTGAAGGACCACCTCACCTTCTTTATGCAACTTCAGCAGTCATTTTTCTGTGGGTCCTGCATGTCCAGTGCATACAGCATAACATTAAGCAGTTCAAACAAGAGCAGTTTCTTTGCCCAAATGGCTAACAAACTCCATAAGGAGCCTCTTTCGATCCCTATCCTCCTCTTGAAGTAGATTGGTGCAGCCAGGAGCAGATGTGTCTCATTGTCATGAGAAGCCCTAAGTTCTTAAAACACTTAAATGCCATATTCTGTTAGTCTTTGAATACCTATTCATATTTGAATACCTATCCATCTGAAATATATCTCTCTACATCTAGAAAACCTAACTAACATGACTACAAGCTTGACTGTTATTATAGATGACTATCTATTAACCTGTATTTCTTAGTTATAAATTACATTGTAAAAATAGCTGCACAAACACAATACCTTAATCAAGAGCAGAAATACACATATAACAAATTGACCTTAAATTTGTATCAGTAAACCAAGATCCATACCAATACAAAGTATTCGTCTCTATAGCATATCCTCCTTTTAAATATAAACAAACATTTATCAACAGTCATTTAGGGAATTTGGACATAGTTTTCTCCAAACTGTTTCCTGCTTTTTGTTGGGTGAAGTATTTTCTTTTTCGGGGTTCACAGCGACCTTTCAGGGGGCCTTGGTCTATCAATCCACATTAGTCTGGAAGGAATCCGCAGGTTCTCATCCTCTGTGAACAAACAAAAGCAGAACCTCTTTTCCAAAGCATAATATCCTTACACCCAAATTTTGAAGTCAAGATACCTTTAAAATATTTATGTTGGTTTAGCTTAGCAGTCCCCAGAATCAAATGTCTCTCTGCAGTTAAAAAAAATTCAAAGAAAACACAGTAATATGCATAATTCAGACTCTCTGTGTATATTCTATCTTTACATGACTTATTTTTCTTTATTCCTTTAATCTATGATTGTCTGTACTCTGTCTCTTTAAAAACTTTGCTTTACTTTTTTTTTAAAAACAGTTTGCTTCTTTTATAACTTTCAATACTCATTTTCTTCTCTATCCCAAGCCTATGTACATTTTTTCAAAGCACACTATGACCTGTTTAGAGATTTATTTCTGAATCTGTCTTTATTGCGTATTTGTAATCATTTTTGATCAGGTACACTTTTATCTTTTAAATGCTAAGCAGGCGTGGCTAGGACCAACTCCAGGGTCCTGCCTGCTTGCTTCACCCCAGTCCAACAGGACAGAGGCATGTTTACTGCCTTTGAGAGCCGTTCTCTCTGCCCCAGATCCAGGGTTGCCATGGGCTATGTCACCATTAAGCAATTTGTAACACACTGCTCACAGACCCTATTTAAATGCTTGGGCTCCTGAAAGAGCCAGAGCTGTTCCTGCACCTAGCATGAACCAGGAAGCCACCTTTTCAAAAACGCAAGTTTTGTTCTTTTGGGTTTTTTTGCTGCTACGGCTGAATCAGGACGACCTCTCTTAAAGGAGCCGTGGCGTCCCTGTTTGTCACCAGCAAACAGAGCCCATCTGTAAAAAACCAAAAATGTCGACTACCAAGAAGCTGTTCTTAACTCTGTTCTTTTATGTCTAGAATTCCTTTCCAAGCTTTCTCAGGTTTTACATGGATGTAGTCAAATATATATATACATACACACCCACACACAAGCATGTGTGTGTGTGTGTGTATCCATAGTTTACACAGAGTTGAAAACTTATTAAATAGATAATTACAATTCTGCAAAAGTAAGCAACAAGACAACACAACCTTCTAGATACTGTTAATAAATACGCCATGTGCTCTTTTTTAGTGTATTTTAATTTTTTGTAAAATGATAAAATTTGTAGGATAACTTACGTGTTGTGGGATTCTTTTTTATTGTTGTTTTTATTGTTTTGAGACAGGGTCTCACTATATGGCCTTGGCAGTCCTGGAATTCCCTGTGTATACCAAGCTGGCCTCAAGCTCATAAAGATCCTACTGCCTTTGCCTCTCAAGTGCTGGAATTAAGGCATGTGCTGCCAGAATGGCTACATTGCTATTTTTTTCACACTGTCTATGGAGAAGTCTGTTCAGACCAATACTTTAGGAAATATAATAACAGTGAGTTACAGCTTTTGTCTTGTTCGATGTGGAGCCTGAGTCTTGCACACTAAGCATACAACATTAAACCTGAGCTGCACTCCGGTCCCACAAGTTCTTAATATTAGGTTGAATAAAGTTACTGTGATTGATTGCCCCGGAAGCCTCCATAAATACTGTTTTTGTATCCCAGTTTGTTGGCTTCACTCTGAGCCGCGGTTATGATCTGCTTGCCGCATGGTCATTGTGCTACTCTAAGTGCCTACTTTGCATAATGCAATGACGTAATTGGCTTTGACTAAACACGTGTGATATTCCTGTGCTTTTTAAAATGCTTTATGAATGAGTTTGGTACTATTTTATAGCAACATACATAAATACAACCTTGAATGTTAGTGGCTTTTTTTGTGTGTGACTTAATGCCCATAATGTCAACATAATATTTAACTTTCAAATAGCTTTGATTGACTTTTTCATGTTTGGTATGCCACCAAATTGTGTCAGTTTTTCTATTTTTCTTTTCCATCTGTTTTCTCAAATAAGTTTCTTGGTTTTTACTTTTAATCACTACTTGGTAGTTCCCACTGTTAGTATCAACAGCTTCTGAAGAGAAATTTTTACTGGCTACCTTCTGCTTAAAATTGATAGTAAGTGTTAAAAGCCATGCTCTGAAGACGTGTTTGTAGATGAATTATTTATTTATTTTTGTTATTAACTATTTATTTTGGTCTTTCTGCAAACTTAACTGTTAGTTAGCATTGTTTTCATTTTGATGATCCTTTGTGAAACTTGAGCTTATTACGTGCAAGCTCATGTGGTGTGATGGGAAAACTTGGCCTTCATTTGCTCCCCTTTATTGGAACCCTCCTTTAAAAGTACTGTCTGTGAGAGAGGACCTTCATGTGTCTCTGACTTGGAGGTAGTCCGTGTCTGCATTCTTCAAGAACTAGACTACCTAAGCCAGCCAGTGTTGGCACACTCCTTTAATCCCAGCATTTGGGAGACAGAGGCAGGCAGATCTCTGTGAGTTTGAGGCCAGGACAGGCTCCAGACCTACAGAGAAATCTGTCTTCAAAAACTAAAAACCCAAACCAAAGAAACAATAAAGAACTAGACTTCCTTAGATTTGCTTTCTTATTTAATCCTATCATAATGCTTAAATTACCAAATTCTGTATAGGGCCAATACAGTGGCTTAGTAGGTAAAAGTGCTTGTCAACAGCTTGATGACCTGAGTTCTATCCCCAGAGCCCACATGGTAAAAAGAACTAACTCCTGCAAATTGTCCTCAACTCCTTGCACATGCCATGGCTCACATTTTTCCCCAAATAGAAAATTAATAAGGAAATATAAAACAATTTTAAAAGTCTCTTTGTAAAAGGAAAGGGTCGAATTAAATCATGACCTAACATTTCTTTAAACTTCCTTAATCCTCCAAGATCCCTCCCAAATAGTCAACCTTTCTCTTTCACTCTTTAGAAAGTAAACAAACAAAAACCAGAAAAAAAACAAAGAAAAACTACAAGAATCACACACATAAAACCCTTAAAATGCACAAAATCAGAAAACATTATAAACAAGCAAAAGACCACTAAGACAAAAAGTGCCCAGATAAAGCAACATGAGGCAAAAAGTCTACAGAAATAACATCGAATTCATTTTGTGTTGACCATCTTCTGCTGGACATGGGTCCTGTCTTAAGTGTGTAATATGCCTGTGAAATTCCTTTGCAGAACAACAGATTTTCCTTTGCTAGCTGGTGTCAGTTGCAGATAGCTTCTTGGTTCGGGGTCGGAGCACCTGTTCACTTTGCCTTCTCAGTGCTGCTATCCTGTCTCGCATGAGCCTGTGTAGATCTGTGCATGCTGTAGTGTCTCTGTGAATTCCTATGTGCATCAGTCCTTTGTATATTAAAAGTAAATATGTATTCTTGAAAACTTGATAGGCCTGTTCAGTGTTAGTTCTAGTTCCAAACAGATTTGCACATCGCTCAGTCATTAGAGTGTTAGATATGTTTCTGAAGAGAGCATGGCCTCAAGTATACTTCCTAAGTGATCTGTTCACACTGAGACTGATCACTAACTCTGGTTTTATGGGAACCGAGTTTAATAAAGTTTTGTAGTATAAAAATTTAGCAGATACTCCAAACCCTAAATGGTGTGACCGAGTGAGGGAGTCTTCAGGACACTGAGTTCTGAGTAGAGTAATTTTACATTTTACAAAACCAGTAGAATGAAAACTTCTTCCATCTATCCTTCGGTTTTCAGTATTTTCCCTTTCAGTGCAGTCTGTGGTAAATTGACACATTTGTTTAGATTCTCTTCGCTTACAGAGTGGAAGCCCTTATTCTGGGTGCCTAGTAAAGACACAGCATTCACTGTAGTTATTGATGATTCACGGGCCATATTCGAGCAGGTCTTTAGTGTATATTGCTGACAGTTCCAAATGCCCACTGAATTTTTTCGTTTGTTTGTTTACTTCATTTTCTCTCTATTCATAAGAGGTAAACAAGGAAACTTTGAAGTTTAGGAAAATTTACTAATTAATAAATAGGTAATTAATAAATAGGTACAACTAAATAAAATGTTGTTGTCTCCAAGAGAATAAGTGTAAAAACAGGAATTTAAGGACCAGTGAGGTTACTCAGCAGGTCAAGGTACTTGCCACACCAGCCTGTTGACCTGAGTTTGATCCCCAGGACTCATGGAAAAGTGTAAGGAAAAAACTTACTTCACAAAGTTGTCTTCTGACCTTCCTATTCGTGTGTGTTATGGCATGTTTACATGTGTGCACACATGCATACAATTAAAAATTTTAGTATAAAAGTAATAAGATTTTTTTGTTTAATACAATAGTATGTCCATGTACTCCCGTTTGGGTTTTTTGTTGTTTGTTTGTTTGTTTGTTTGTTTTCAAGACACGGTTTCTCTGTAGCTTTGGAGCATGTCTTGGAACTAGCTCTGTAGACCAGGCCGGCCTCAAACTTACAGTGTATTCCAGTTATTAAAGGTTTTAAAATGTTTATATTCTATAAAATTACGTTTGATTTTAGACACGATTTTGCTCTGTAGCCTGGAACTTCCTATGTTGCCCTGGTGGGCCTGGACTCTCATGGCTGTCTTTGTGTTCTCAGCTTTTTGAGTGCAGGGCCATAGGCATGGGCCACCACAACTGGCTCTAAAATTTTATGTTAATTTTGAAACAGAGTCTTACAATGTAGATCCCAGCCTTGTCTTGAACTCACTATAGTAAGTAGCCTGGGGTGCCTTGAACTTGGGATCTTCTTGCCTCTACTTCCCCAATCCTTAGTACTGAGATTATAGTATATGCCACCAAATTTTACATGATGCCTAAAATACTTCTTAGTATTAGACCCTATTTGGCCAAACATTTGAATTCTCTTTTGTAATTCAAGTCTACCTTTCAGAAACAGAGTATCTTTTTTCCTGTTACTGGTACATGGATGCCAACACACACACACACACACACACACACACACACACACACACACACACA